GGATGACGGTCGATGGGGTGCTCCCCGCTGTGTTACGCGCTTTTTTTGTCGCCATTGCTGCTTATACGACCGGGGGGTTGCTGATTTTCTCCTGTCCGGCACGGAGCTCCGTTACTGTGCTGCCAGTCTCGCCGGAGTCTTCTCTGGTTAGTGTTTGGTGTGTAGATGTTTACAATTGTATACATCATATTGTTGAACAGACCTATGATAATAACATAGCGTCCCTGGTCATCTATGTCTTTCGTCTGTAGCGTGAAAGCTATAGAGTTACTAATCAGTATAGAGGCCCCTTTGTATTTCATTGGTGCAGTGGAGTGGAATTGCCATGGTTATTGCGTCTGCATCATGTGGGGGTGGTTATTGGTCCTGTAATGGGTCTCTTGTAGGCAAACTACGTCTGCTCTCTGTGACCATAGTTCCCTCCCTAATAAATGTGTTCCCTCCCTAATTAGTATTATTACTAATACTAGAGTAAATATACAGTCTCCACTGGTTTTGGACATTTATTCCAAACAAAACCTAGCTCCTGAGAATCTTCCTGAGGGCTATATATAAGATATACATTCCTCCTGAACACCAGGAAGAGTTATTGTTTTGTTTCCATGATAGTAAAATCGCAGGTCACCTAGGTATAAGAAAAACCTTAAATTTAATTTTGAAGGAATATTGGTGGTCGACTATGCGTAAAGACATCACAAATTATGTTTCCGCTTGCTGCATATGTAATATGTCATGGTGGGTCATGAAAGGGGTGTGTGCAGTAGTACCATATGTGTGGGTCTACTTTGTATGGGCGGCTCACTTGTCCCAGCTCTTTGAAGCCAAGTGTCCTATCCCTGGGGTAGTGTGTGTGGTGAGGTCACTGTACTCGGTCTGTGAACTTGGGATTTACAAGGGTATTGGCTGTATTCAAACTCAATGCACTCTGAGTTTGAGAAATGACATCTCTATGGCCACCCACGTGGCCAGTAAGAAGAACATTTAAACATATAGCAATATAAGGTAACAACATAAACATTGTAAAAACTTTTTCAGAGTGGTTGCGGAGATATCAGCGAACAGTATGGTATTCTTATAGGGGTCAGGCAGGATCTTCCTGGTTCTGCTAGCTTTCATGATCGCCTCTTTGGCATGATAATAGTGCATGCACACCAGGACATCCCGTCGTGTGCCAGGTGGGAGAAAGCTGGGCCTTGTTGTTCTGTGCGCTCCACGGATGCGGATATTGTTGCGGCGTCCCCGGTCCTCCAGGACTTCCTTTTTTGCTTCATGCGTGTCTACATTGGAGGTAAGGCTCTTCATTTTCCCCGCCAGGTCATTGTGTACTTCAGCAAGTTCCGACATTTTACCTTCCACAGTGGATGTCCGGGTACCGAGATCCTAGAGGTCTTTTTTAATGTCCCCAATTGCAGCTTGCAAGGCATTCTGCAGTTTGGTGGACATTGCATCCAGCATCGACTGCATCACATCATGTGTGAGCATGGCAGCTAGTTCTGGGGACGGCAATGGCTGATTTGAGTCTTTATCAGCGCCATCTTGGCCGAGAGCTTGGGCCGGCATTGATTTGTTCTGACCCACTCGAGGCAAAAAAGTTGTATTTCTCGCTTCTGTCCACATGTCTCTTGCTTTTGGGTTGAGACGTCTCATTGTGGAAGTAATTAGTTGAGCCTAATTGTTGTATTGTGGCCTGTTCAGAACGGAGCGCTCAAAAACATGCGTCCGCTCTGTTCGGAGTCTAGGACACACCCTCTCCCGCCACATTCTTAAAAATAACTTGAAGTAATATTTACAGTGATTGTCTGCAGAGATTGTCTTCACCATAATGTGTGGTGTTGGTTATAATATAGCAAATGAATATTAGATCAGCAGTGGCATGCTTTTCTATAATCTAAGGTAACTGCAAATAACGATAGCCTAGCCCTAGTATTGCAAAATGAAATTTTTTCAAGTAGAACTCCAATGGTGACGTTGAAAACCCAGTTAAGGAGTTAAACAGATATATGCTTAGGCATGGGGTCAAGTCAAATATGAAAAGGGTCTGTTCCATTACATACAATTAAACAAGCAAAACAATAAACACATTTATACAAAACTACAATTTTGTAATGCCTGTGATTATGGAATTTGAGTATATTTGATTCAACAGTGAGTAGTTACTACCTTCTCCTTCTCTCCAAAGTGCTATTGATCTTCAAAAGAAGAGCTTTGTGACCCCAGTGTAATGTGCAAAGTCAATCTGAGGACAGTTCTTTAAGCAATGAACACTCTACTTCAAATGATGTGCTGTGAAACTTGGTGTATCGGGAATAAGAATAGCTGTCACAGAAATGTACAGTTATTGCTTGAACTGGTAACCTTTAAACCCATAGTTTTAAAAAAAATACACAAAATACCCAAGGAGGTAAATTAAAGTTTGTTTGACCTTTAGAATTTTCAGTAGAGCAAACATTACAGGAATATGTTTGAAAATGAATCATAAAAAGGCTGACTTAAATATTCTACACACATTTTATAACACATTTTAATAAATGTAACTAGAAAAGGAATACACTTATTGTTTTAAAATGAAAATGCATTCATGTGACAACTACAAATGGACTAGTTAATCAGTAAATCATGTTGTTTTTATATCTTTTTAATTGTTTTTAGTTTCACGTTGATGCAAAGTGAAAAATCACTGTCACATAAAGGGTTAAAATGGAAGCTAGAGATTGGAAATGCATTATACATTTGCAGCTTAAAATCTGTCACCGGGATACTTATTAACAAACAAATAAAATCCAGGCACATCTGCTCTCCAGGCTGTTTTATCACATTATAGGTAAAGGCCACTTATCTGGGTTGCATGGACCTTTTTCAAAAAAGATTTTTAAGTATGAGATTGTTGGACCTAAAACTGAATTCATATACACTTTGCCTGGTCAGGAAAAGGCACATCTGTTAACTGCTCACAAAAGACTGCAGCAGGAATACTGTTTTCAAGTGCAACAAAGACTGTTTGGCACTGGAGATAATATAGTAAATGTACTTTGGAATATGGTATACTTCCAATGAATAATGTGTTAATGAGATATTTTTTGTGTTTAAAACAAAAAACAAAACTATAACTTTGAATGTGCTGTTTATTGAGGAAGTGTGATGGATGTTGTATAAATTAGCCCCAGTAGCACCCTTATAATGTATGCATTATCAGGTGAGTGTAGCACTAGGATATGTATTTATATACACCACTGAACCACTGAAAACTTCAAAAGAATTGTAGATTATATTAGCTTTAGTGTAACTATGATCTTAATTGTATTAATGACAGGAGGCAAATATTTGCTTAAGTCTCTCTTTACTAGAACTCCACAGCAGCACATTAACATAGAGAGAAACAACCAACCAGAAAAAAGTAAGGAACAATAAAAGTCCACTCCCAACCAACTACTTCTCCTTTCAAGCTACGACAAAAAACAAAGAACAGAAACAAACATATCCATATAGCAGTAGCAGTAGAATTCAAACAAAGCCAACCAATGACCTTCATCCAGAAGAAGAAACTGAACGCGGATCCGTAGATGAACCATTAAACTTTATCCAGAAATATTCGCCTCCTGTCATTAATAAAATAAAGATTACAGTTATACTAAAGCTAGTATAATCTACAATTTTATAACATGACAGGAGGCTTCATATTTGCTGTTTTAACACTCAGACAGCAAGGCAAAAGAAGCATGATACGCTGGTCTGAAATAAAATGGACAGAAGGTGTCTTCCTGGGACCAGTCAGCTGAACGTAGGATGTCCTGGAGAGAGGCGCCCGCGAAGGTCGAATTCACACCCGCCAATGACAACAACCATTTAATCCACCGTGCCAGGGTAGGGGAAGAGACCGGCTTATGAAGTCTAACATAAGAGATCAATAATTGACCAGAACTGGAAGGGCGAAGTGGAGAAGTATGCACCACATAGCAAGACAGATCCGTCGCCACACAGAGTTTAGGCAAGTCACGGAAGTACGGGTAGAAGACAGCCGTCGAATGTATGTCTAGATACTGTGAAGGTGACCCCCTCCGGAGAAAAGGAAAAAGCATCTAAATCGAAGGCCCGGATGTCAAAGACCCGTCGGAAAGAAATTAGGCATAGTAGCAGAGTAAATTTAGACGAAAGATGACAGAGGAAATGGTCTTGATTATCAGGCCAGTCCTGGAGGAACGACAAAACCGTGCGTACATCCCAGAGGGAGGAATATTTAGGTATCGGAGGCCGTGATAGTCTCATGCCCCGGAGAAGTCTTCATACCAACGGGTCCTGACCAATGGGGAAACCTTGGAGGGGTATGTGAGCTGCCGAAATCACCGACCTTGCCACGTTAACTGAATGATACGAGCACCCAGGTCAAACAGGTGTGAGAGGAAGTTCAAAACACTTGCTACAGGGGCCGTAAAGGGATCGGTATCCTGTTCCAGGCATCAACAACACCAAGAGTTCCATGCTGATAAGTAGCATCTCCTAGTTCCAGGAGCCCAGGAGTCCCAGAGGAGGTTCTTAGCAGAACGTGATAATGCCTCGACATTCCAGGTTCCCCTGAAATAGTCCAGGCCACTAAGTAGAGGTGGCCGTCCACCACAAGGGGAGTCTGAGAGGAGCATCTGTGGGGATGGTAGAAAGAGTGTATCCCAATGGGATAGTTCCAAAAGTTCTGGAAACCAGGCCTGACTCTGTAATAGGGGAGTCAGCAATATCAAAGATACTCGTTGACGTCGTACCTGCAGTAGAACCCTGGAGATCATAGCAAACGGAGGAAACGCATAAGCTCCCCGAGATGGCCACACGTGAAGAAAAGCATCCACCATCATGCAAGCCGGGTCCGGAAGCCAGCTGAAGTAGGTTGGGACCTGATAGTTCATCCTGGACGCGAAAAGGTCCACCGTGAACAGACCCCTCTGGTCCACAATCTTGAAGAAAGTGGGACAAAGGAGTCTCCAATTGTTGGGGTCCCTCCAATGTCTGTGTTACAAACTGCTATTTGTAACTGGCCCTTTAAATGGCAAATTGCCCTGCTTCCCTGGGTTGTGGAGAAGCCTATTTGCCAGCCTCCTTCCACATGACTATGGCCCCTGGGAGATTGTGAGAATTTATGCACCTTTATTGAGTGTGTATGGCCATTTAAGACAGCCAGTGGGCATATTGGGGCTTATGGACTCTTTATGGGACTGGTGCTGGCCCTTTAAACACTTTTTGGAACATCAGGAAGATTGGGACACTGCCCCTTTAAGACGGTGTAAAGAGTCCATAAGCCCCAATGTGTCCCCAGACCAGGTTAAAACTCTTTGTTCCTGGCTATTTCCCACTTGGTTCAGTAAATGGGGCTTACTGAACCAAGTACCACACAGGCAGACCACCCAGAAGGGGAAGTGTGCAGGCAATTTACCTCCCAGAAGCTGCGGTTAACCGCAGCTTGTTTGCCGAACACGTGGCGGCGGCCATCTTTGTTAATGCGAACGAGGTCAGCGGTATGTGTAGTCAAATTCATGGAACTAAAATCGGCTACACATTTCCACGAACACCGCTGAGCTCTACCTTCTCCCATACTGATTTTACAGCTGCAGTGTTAAGTCCCATTCGGCAATGGGACTTAGTCGTTTTTTCAGCCTGAAATAGACCGGCCGCACAGCCCAAATCTATGGAACTGTTTTGGGCAGGAAAATGTGCTTGCGGTCGGTCATAAAGGGACCTCCAGGTAACTTTTTAACCCCTGGATGGCTTTGTCTGATTTCTGGTTATGTTTAAAGTGTGCTGATTCCAAATATGTAATTTTTATGAAGATTGGATGTGTAGTTTTAAAGTTATAGTACATGTATAAAAACTGCATTTTTACTGCCTGTGTTTAATTATGTTAACCCATTTTGTACCATAATTAGATCATAGGCAGAGGGGAGGATTTTGTGTGTAATTGCTGGGAGTGTTTCTGTAATGTACGTTTATGATTGGTTATTCTTTAAACCTCTGTGGGTGGTCCTATCTCAGGGAAACCTGCATAAAAGAAGGCCCTTTGGTGCCAAGTAAAGAGATTTTCTTGACCCTCAATACGTAGCCTTGTCTCGTTATTGGAGGGAACTGCTATATCACACTGGGGATTGTTATGCTCTGCATATTCCCCTGAGCTTTTAATCA